TTTTTACAAAAGTTGCATGTTACGACTTTTTTCGCTTTACAAAGCGCAGGCTGTCTGCGAATTGAGACGCAGCTTGCGTTTGCGGTATCGGTCATTAGAACAGTTGACGTTACTGCCTTTTGAAAACAGCCTTTGCTCACCACGGCGCTTCAGTTGAGCGGCAGTGATGACGACGACGGCGGCGGATGACGCATTAATCACGCGACACAACTAATCGATGATGAAATTCGTTGCTAACGCTTTTAAAAGTCGATTTTTATCGATTTGTTGTTGCAGCCCTAGATTTGACACTTTGTTTGAATGTATGATGGCCTGATATCTTTCTTAAATTGTCTTTGTTTTGTTTTTCTGTCCTGGTTTAGGTGTGTTAGGGGGGGAGCTGTGTGCAGGAAGCAGGATTTGTGCCTTCATTTTACTCATCGTCACCTGAGACGGCGTGGATCAGCAGCACCCCAGCCTCTTAGCTCTGCTCCCTTTCGCCCCTAAAGGAAATCCTCCACCCATCTAACCAGAAACCCCCGATTCTCATCTCTGCAAACCCCACACCCGACCCCCCCAGCCTTCAAAACCTCGGCTTTTACCCCCAAACCTGGGTGGATATTTTGCACTTATTGCTGAGAAGAGACGCGTGGGACGCTTTGGAGTTTAAACACTGATCACAATCAGAGCGGGGGGGGGACTCCTGCCGCGGAGAAAATGAAACTCGCTGAGAAGGACGTCGTGACTGAGGAAAGACAAAAAGACAAAAAAGAGTTGCAGACTTTTCAATGCTGCACATTTGTTTAAAGACAATTTTTGGGGGGAAAAGCGGGAACTTTTCTTTCTTTCCTCTCTTCCTTTTCTATCATTTCCCACAAACATGGTGATTTCACTTTCTATATTTTAAGTGTCGTCAAAGGAGAATCGTGTTCTCTTTCTGCTTTTCCTTTTGATTCATATATATATATAAAAATGTATATATGAACGGAGTTTAAAAAAAAAAAACCTATCTGTGGCATTTTGTGGAAAAACGAATCATGAACACTTGTGGTGTATTTGTAAAGCTACCATGTATGTACAGTATGCATGTAAATGTTGTCGTCCAGGCGTGGCTACATTACATCCCTCCCCCCCATGCATCCAGCTCCTCCCCTTCCAACTGTGGCAACCTGAAGAAATCTGCTCATAGTCAGTAATGTAGATATCATTCCCAACGTTCAAATGCTGAATGAGAGAGAAATTTATTTGTGATATTTTTCCGAGACATTTGCTCCCGTATGGTGTATTTAATTAATAAAAGTATTGGAAGATTTTAAAGCCTCCTCCATTTTATTGTGTCAGCTCACATCTATGAACAGCATTTATGTAGATCGGGGGGGAATTTACGATTAGGCAATAGACTGATCTAACCTGACTCCGCCAGATGGATTTGCTCCGCATATCCATCTGGAAACCTTCCGTTGAAGTAATTTTGGGAAGGGGCGAAA